TCAAGATGCGGACCATGCAATGCTGCCCATCTGAGGAGTGAATTCCAGGCAGGTTGGTTCTGCCTTGCCCCTTGCCCCCTGTGAGGAGTAAGTGCACAAAGGTAAGTCAGGTTTCATTGGCAGGAAGAAGCTCTGTCTGTTCCAGGCTCATCATGTGAGACTATAGGGATAACTGACTCAGCCTCTGAAAGTTCAGCCAACAAGAAAACTTGGCACAGCTGCAAATACCACTGTTTCCTTAGCTCATCTCTCCTATAACCCAGGGCAGTTGGAGATTTCAGAGACCAAGCAGCCCCAGAGCCGTGAAATGCAAACAGCAGAAAAACAACAGAGAAAACAGCAGCAGATCTCCCTGAGTGGAAATGTCTTACAAAATTGAGTTTATTTGGGTAGAGAGACAATCTCAAATGAAATTATCTATGCCAGAAACCATATCTAAACTCAGAACCTGTAATTTAGCAGCCTCTTGACAACTGGGAATGAAATGCCTTATGTGAATGTCTGTGAACTATAAGACTCACTGGAAATTCCATCAGTTTCATTATGCTTCCTATAGTCACAGTAGAAGCTCTGGGAGCAACAGAGTAAGGTTCAAGGACCTTGAGAAAAGCGAAATGTGTCTTTCCCTCAAAAAGATCAGTTCAGGGACATTTGAGGTAACAGACATTATTTTTAGTTTAATTGTGATGTTTCTATTTTTAATGGAAGCCAAAATGAAAAGCTTTTTATATTAAGTTAAGAACATTTTCCTGTAGCATCCAATTATACATATTTTCCCAACAGCAGGCATGTGTAGTTGGTTTTAGTTCTTATTATTATGCATCTTGACTGTCCCAGTTAAAAGCAAGGGATCAGCGACCAGCAGGTTAAGGGATCTGCCTTGTCCAGCTCTTCCTGTATCAGCATTGCCTTGCCAGGTGCTGAACGGAGGTGCTGGTCTTTGTTCTCCTCTCTCTCCTTCTCCCCTCTTCCTCTTGGTCAGCAGGGAATCTAGCTGCAAGAGCCTGCCCTCCAGCAAGAGCAAGAAGACCTGGCACAGACACTCCATTGCTTGAAAGCCCCTCTTTCTCAGTTCATGACCCAGGACAACCTGTCTTTTCTCCAGGTGCTTGTTAAACATACTGACCCCACTAAGACCTAGAGCATCAAAATCTCTAGCAGCTGCATCCTGGGATCCATGTTATTAGCAATTTTGATTTTACAATATCGAATGTGCACTGAAGCTTCAAAACACTTGCTTTTCCTTATAAGTGAGTTTATGTAAGAGAGTCAGCTAGCAAGGTAATTATATATAATATGTTGTGATATATTAGAATTATATGTAATTATAATATTATAATAAATATTATAATAGATATAACATATAATTATATGTCATATGTATTATGATATATCACCACATATGATATATATATAATATTTATCATATATTGGTACATGGTCAGCATCTGAAGTTTCTTCATAGTTCTGCTTTAGGAATTAAAGTCTATCTACCCATTGTTTCTGAAAGTGCAATCACAGACTATTTTATATATATATATATATATATATATAAAATATATATAGACTTATATAATATATAAAATAAATATATAATAAAGATTTTATATATGTCTATATATATAGTGCCATTAGCATTGCCCCTCCTGGGGCTCCCAGTGGTATATTTACCAGTCCTCCCTGCCCTCAGGCATGGGTAACTGCCCTGGTTCTGGGCGCAGGATATCTGCCAAACATTTTCCACCATCCCTGAACTTCCTATTCTTCCCAGAAACCTTGGCACAGGCCAAGGGCAGCCAGGGAGTGGCAGAGGCATGTGTCCAGTTGGGAGAACTTTGAAACAGCCCCAGCGTGCAGTGTCTGAGTCAGAGCTCTCCATAGGGAAGGAGCAGGACGTTCGGTAAGTCAGCTCTGTAGTGGACAGAGGGTGCTGTGCTGGCCCTGGGGGCCTCTGCAGCAGCTCTCCTGGCTCAGAGGTCAGTGGCTTGGAACCTTTGCCCTGCCGCCTAACACACTGACCTTCTATTCTTGTGAGTACAAGCTGGGTCCAGCACATTCTCTGCCTTAAAAGAGCACTTAGAAAGATGTTCCCTTTCCTTCAAAAGAGAAAAGCCTGGATGTAAGAGCCCGGCAGAGATTTGCACGGTGTTTTGTGAAACATACATCCAACAGCATGAAATCATACTATTCTGTTTCCTTCACTCTATCTGGTTGCCCCCCAGCTGACATTCCTGAGCTTACATCTGACCAGAGGCTCCAAAGGCCTCTCCATAATCAGCCATCCTGGCTTCCTCTTGAGGTGTGTACGTGTGTGTGTGTGTGTGTGTGTGTGTGTGTGTGTGTGTGTGTGTGTGTGTGTGTATGTGTATGTGTGTTCCCAGTAACTGGGGCTTGAACTCCAGGCCTCATATTCTCACTTTTCCTTTTCCTTCTAGTCTGCCAGGCTCTATGCTACTTGAACACCTGTACTTGCAGCTTTTTAAGCTGTATCCTTGGAGAGCATCCCATAGACTTTTCTGTTCTTGCTGGCTTCAAACCGTGATCCTCAGATCTCAGCCTCCTGAATAGCTAGGATTGCATGCATGAGCCACCGATGCCCGGCAGTGATGTGCTTTTAATATGGAGGTGACACTAGGAGAATGCGAGGGGCTTTGAGAATTGGGGCTGGAATCTGAGTGCTGCCAGAACTCTCTTCATTCAAGGATGTGTCAGAGCTAGAGAGATGTCAGCTTGGTTCATCTAAGGGGCTTTTGCTCTCCTTGATCAATTTGGATGGGCCATTTTTTTTTTGTATTTGGTTTGTGTTTAGGTCTTTCTTCAGGATTTGCAATTCTTAATATTCTTTGATTCTTTAGAGATTAGGGTAAGAAAGTTAAGTGGAGCAGCCTTTACATTTTGGTCATACTGCAGTGGATCAGGAAGACTTGGAATGTCCAAACAATGAGTGTTTTAAGGTAACCACAGTCAATGTTCTGACATTGGTTGAAGCATTTTAACATATCAAGAAGTCACATGGCACTTATGAGGCTCCAGATACTGCTCTGAATATTTTGCGAATACTAAGTTATTTTTTGTTCTCATAATAAGCCTACAAGGTATACAAGACAGGTGTCATTGTAACTTACTGGGAGCCCATTTTGTGGGTGACAAAACGGAGGCACAAAAAGGTTAAAGCAAGGGCTGGGAAGGTGGCTCAGTGGTAGAGCGCTTGCCTTGCATGCCTGAGGCCCTGGGTTCGATTCCTCAGCACCACATAAGCAAAAAAGAAAAAGAAAAAAGCCTGAAGTGGCGCTGTGGCTCAAGTGGTAGAGCGCTAGACTTGAGCTGAAGAGCTGAGGGACAGCGCCCAGGCCCAGAGTTCAGGCCCCACGACCGGACCCAAAAAAAAAAAAGGTTAAAGCAATGGCTTGTCAGTGGTGGAGTACAGATGCAAACTCTTAACCTGCACGTAGCTACCATGCTGCCCATGTAAAAAGAGAAAAGAGAAAACAACAACAAAAGGCCAATAAAATACTCCAAACATTCTTAGAAAAATTCTATTTTCAAAGAAAGTTCAGAGAAAGCAACCAAAGACTGCAATCTAATTGAGAATCAGCTCCCATGGTTCTTTTTCAGTTTCCTTTTTTTTTTTTGGAGATATTAGAGATTACACTTGCAAGACAAGCACTTTATCACTTGAGTCATGCCCCAGCCCATTTGGTTTTCTGATGGGGTCTTGTGCTCTTGCCGGTGGCCAGCCTTGGACCTTGATTCTCCTGTGTATGCCTTTCACAGCTGAGGTTACTATGGGTTCCATCACACAGATTTGTCTTTGAGGTGGGTCTTGCTAACTTTTGCTCAGCTAGCCTCAAACCTCAAACCTCCTAACTATTTGGGATTACAGGTATAAACAGCCATACTTGATTGTGCTAAGAAACTAAACATTTAGTTTCTTTAGTGAATATTTGCAAACTAAAGAGAATCCCATTCTTTATACATGATTTTTTTTTTTCTTTTGGTCTGGTTGTGGGGCCTGAACTCTGGGCCTGAGCGCTGTCCCTCAGCTCTTCAGCTAAAGGCTAGCGCTCTACCACTTTGAGCCATAGTGCCACTTCCAGCTTTTTTCTTTTTGCTTATGTGGTGCTGAGGAATCGAACCCAGGGCTGCATGCATGCAAGGCAAGCGCTCTACCACTGAGCCAACTTCCCAGCCCCCATACATGATTTTATTCTCAGCACACTGTACCTAGGAACCCACCTGGAATAACTGAGTAGACTTTGAGGCATAGGAATTAAAAAACAGAAGCAGCCTTTTACTGCCATTTCCTGGCATCTGCCTAAATGAAAATGGACATTTCTGACTTGACTCCACATGAGCTACCTCATCCCTGTAATCCTGGCTACTCAAGAGACAGACATTGGGAAGATGCAGTTTGGAGCCAGCTGGACAAAAACTTCTTGAGACCCCATTTCCACCAATAAAAGCTGGGTACAGTGGTGTGTGTTTGTCATCTGAGCTAGGACAGAAGCATTAATAGGAAGATCTTAGTTCAGGCCAGCCTGGACTACCTGAACTATAACTAAACAAATAGGGTTGGGGACATGCCTCAAGCAGTAGATAGCTTACTTAGCAAGTACAAGGTCATGAATTCAAATCCCAGAACCACTACCACAAAACAAACAATAAAAAACCCCAAGGGTGATAACTACTTAAAGGGATAGAAAATTATAAGGTAATATTACAGGTTGTTTTAGAAATAGGATCTTTACTACTCTATTGTCTGAAGTCAACTATAGTTCTCTTAAGCAGATTATTCACTACTTTCTTCCACTTCCCTAGTAAATTCTGCCAGGACAAGAGCCAGGTCTTGGATGTTTATCTTTGCCTCCCAAGGTTGTTTCTGGCATAGAGTATCAGTAAAGGTTTCTTAGGTGCATTCATGGAGGGGGCTTTCAGAAGAATTTGGGAGCTCCTTCTCTGAGTTGAGAGGGGGTCATGGAAGGAAAAGACATTCACCATACCTGCTTCTACCACGTGGTCCATCGTTGGGAACCTTTTGTACACCGCTGTGCTCACGGAGCGGAAGATGAGAAGGGACGTGAGATTTACATAACGCATCAGAGTCCTTCTGAGCAGGCGCCCATGCTGGTCACTGCCGTGAACACTGCTGGAGATGAGGAACATCAGCCTGTCTGGCCAGGGCAGGTTCACAAACTGGTTCCACCATCGGTTCACTACCAGAGTCACATAAAATCCTGTAGAGTAAGCGGAAATTAGAAAGTTATTTCTTAGCTCAGACACCTTGGGGGAAAAAGATGCTTTTTTTCTTTAGCATAATTTTAGCCTTTTTTTTAAAGGGGTTGGGAATATTAACAAAAAATTGTACCTTAAGATTTTGCCTCTGGGAGGAAAAATGTCATTTGTGCCTAGCACTGCCAGGGCACCCAGTAAGTGGGTATTAGAATTTACATATTGATGGTAGAAATGGAGGATTAGTGAAGAGAAAGCTTAAGGGCCCAATAGCAGATGATTACCTCAAACTTACTTGGTGTTAATTTAGCGACAGCAGCCCTCAAGGCAAACGTTAGGGTTGGTTCTGCCCTGGTGCAAGCAATGGATTTTCAGGCATGCCTCCCAGCCTGGGCACACTCTCATGCAGTCATCCTGTCATCCTAATGGAGACAGCTGTGTGGCTGCACTCTGCGTGTGACCTATACTTACCAAGCACAAAGGTTACTGGAATTTGTTCAGCATATCTGTCACAGTAAATTGATAATTTTTCAAAGTAACGTTTTTGGGCTCCTGTAAGTAACAATCTGGAGCAAAAATAAAATGCACAGCCCTTTATGATATTATACTTCTGCACCTGCTTTGCAAGTGACATTACGTGCACACAATTAAGCACAAGTAATCTCAGGGTTTTTCTTTTTTCTTTTTCTTTTTTTTTAAGGAACTATAACTTTTTGTTTTGACTCAAACTGAGATGTCTCGAAAACTTTTTAATTGCTTAAGGTTTGAAGTGCTGGTTTTGTTTTGTTTTTGTCTGTTGGCTGGTTTTTGTCCTTGGTACTTGGACTTGAATTGGCCTGAGTGCAGTTCCTTAGCTTTTTTGCTCAACCAGTTGAGCCACAGCTCCAGCTAGTTAATTGGAGATAAGAGCTTTACAGACTTTGTTACTGGGGCTGGCTTCAAATTGTGATCCTTAGATCTCAGCCTCCTGAGTAGCTAAGATTACAGGCATGAGCTAAAGTACTAAAGCTTTAGAGTATAAATATGTTTGGCCACTATATAGGGGGACTTGTTAACCATGTATTTTTTAAACTTTATATTTAAAGTTTTTGTAATTTCTTCAGTAGATTTGGAGCCAAGCATGTTATAAAGTAGCCCATTTTTTCCAATTATTCATCAGGAATGCTTAAAAGTAGATAATATTGATTAAGTGGACTAGAGTTATTATCATTATTAAATAATAACATTTGACATCTTGATCTTTCTCCTGAATGCAATCCGTGCATTCCAGATTACACATGTTGCACTTCAAAGGATATTGTAAGGGTTTGTTTTAAAGGCTATAATTATTTTAAATATAAGCAAAACGGATTTAACAATGAGAAGCAAAAACTTGTTATATTATATTTAGTCACTGTCTCAACATATTTATTATAGGTCTGTTCCAGCCTGCCCAAACTCATTTTCTGGTATTGTTAAACATAATTGCATTTAATGAGACCACTATTGCTATGTACATTATAGGGAAGAAATTCAGAGACTGACTTGTCGAAAGGCAGCATAATAATAATGATGGAAGTATGGAAAGAGAAGTCACACACATGAATTTGTGTCAATCAGTAAATGCAGCTGTTCCAAAGGACGAAGGAACCAAGGAAAGATCCATAGCAACCAAGGCCACTTTGGGTGAGTTGATCTAGGAAGCAGAGGGATAATGAGCTAACAGTACACAACCAATCAGACTGCAGGAGGCGGTTCTGACAAAGAAGTTGTTTAGGGTGTAGGTGGGTGAGGATTGACTGTCTCAGTTTCTGATTAAGTCTGACAAGACTTAATGGAAACAGTAAACGCTAATAAGAGAGATGCTGACTGGCTGCATGGGCCATATCAGGGTTCTGCTGATGACATGTCACCATCAGAGTGGTTTGTTAATCCATAAATAGAAATGGTCAGGAGAATTTAATGTGGAAAGCACAGATCGTAGGGTCAGACCAAACCAGATTTTAGTCCAAATCTACTACCTACAGATTTAGATGTAGAGAATATCTTCTAATTTTTCCCCAGTCTCAGTTCTCTTATTTGTTAATGAGGATATTAACATGTACATATCTATATCTATATCTATATATATGTAAAACACATGACCTCATACTTAATCATAAAATTGTATTATTACTAACTGGCTAAAGAAAAATATTTAAATGATAGGTAAGTAGAAATTTTAATAGTTAAAAAATTCTAGAGAGATTATTTTGTCAACTATCTCCAAAATAGAAGACATATAATCTAAATTAATGAACTCTGATTATGCTCTATGACTTTTATAAAGTATAAATATTTGCTTACAACAAGATTAATAAAAACCTTAAGGTTATTATTAGATATGAGAATGAAACTATATTCATTTTTTTCAACAGGTAGGGTTTGGCTTTTTTTTTGACAGATTTGATCTATAGGTCTTGATAAACCTTTGATGAAGATAAAAGGATCTACTTTAACAAGTACTTACAGTTAAACTTTAAAAAATGAAGGAAAACGTGAACTAATGTTTATTACTATAAATGTTACAGAAACAATCATTAAACTTTGGGAAAACATACACATGTATTTTTGGGAGAGCATAAATTTGAGACCGGAGCAAAACTTCAGGTCCTAAGGAGCATTTCTGGCTACATTGCGACTGTTCTAAGGGCTATTCTATTCTAAGCAGCGGTAGCAGCAATACACTCACATTAGTAAAAATAAACTAATGAGATAATTATCCTGGAACATGGTTGTGTCTTCCACAGTTTCATATTATGAAGGTTTAGGTAGCATGTAAGGACATTGTCAAAATCATCTCATATCATCATATCATTGATAACTATAACATATATGAAAAAAATACTGGAAGTTCTAAAGGTATTTTGCTGGAATGTATACCAATAAGTATACTTGTTTGGAGTGGCAGTTTTAATGGGTAGTGAGATAGTTCTTTCATTTTGCTATTGATAACTATCAGCTAACTAGTTAATACCCCTCTTCTCCCAGTGGATTCTTGTTGCTGCAAGGAAGAATGTAGGTATCAGAAATGACACACAAATCTAATCTGTAGATAGAAGGAAAGTAAACCAATATACATAGAATAAGTAGGAAATACAGCCTCAAAAACTTTTAGCTTTCCTATTTCAACTTCCAGCTTCCTCCAGAGAAGAAACGTATGCTTTCTATTTAAATAAGAGGACTCAGAAAAACTTCACTTTTATCATACTTCTGAAGTTTTATTAAGGCTATAATTTTCACTTATCAAAGCATTTTTTTGGGCATGATACTCCTCAAACTTTCTATCAATCTGACAAGCATTGGTTGTGTTGTCATAAATCTCTCTCTCTTTTTTTAACACAAAATGCCCTGAAATCAGAAGACATAAAGAAAATACATTCATCTTCAGGTCTTAATTCTTTGATAGAGGCACAGATAAGGTTGGAGGGCACCATCCTGCATAAGAGCTCATCATTCAAGGCAAGAGGAAAGAAATTGCTGGATAAACACTATTCATAGACATGTTAATTCTATATGTCATTACAGCCAGTGGTTAATTCACAAATTCAGACTGTATATGATATAGTTGAAAGAAGCATAAAAACTTCACCTGTGGGTTTCTAAAAAAATCATTACATAGTAAGGATCTTTCAATTTATATCTAAAACAATAGGCTTAATACCTCACCATGACCAGTTTATGTGGTGCTGGAATGAGAGACTTTTGAATCAGAGAGTTATAATCTACTTAACATTCTAACAAAGTGGTTAGGTAAGGATTAACATACCCTGTCTTGTGGAGAAAACAACAGAGAGGTTCATGCAAAGGAAGAGGTTACATAACACAAAAGTCAGCAGCAACCAAAGGATTCAGATTTTTGAGACTGTATTCCTACATAACAGTTGATGGCCATTTAAGAACACATGCAAATCAAAGTACCTGTACACCAAACTTATGGCTGTGTAAAGGACAGCAAAAACAATAAATTCCCTGTACAGTAGTTTGTAGATGCTGCCTCTCCACTTGAGGAGTAACCTATGAAATCCAAAAAAAGTCGCATTTGCTACTTTACTGGAGTAAGTGACAGTCATCTTGGATAGTGTTTTTCTAGAAGAGCAAGAAGACAAAACACAAACAAAATGTCATATTCAATACAGGACATAAATCTGTATAGAAAACCAAACCACTAACCAATCAACAATATTTCAGTTTTTACAGTGTGGGACTTGGTGGGTGATCATCGTGTCACTAACTAGCATCTCAGTGCATCTCTGTTTAGCAGAGAAGGGAAGGAAAGGAGATATCAGGAAGAGTGGTTTTTGAAATCTTAAAATTGCTTTAAATTTTTTTTTGGTCGGTCATGGGGCCTGAACTCTGGGTCTGGGTGCTGTCCCTCAGCTCTTCAGCTCAAGGCTAGTGTTCTACCACTTGAGCCACAGCGCCACTTCCAGCTTTTTCTGCTTATGTGGTGCTGAGGAATCGAATTCAGGGTCTCATGCTTGCAAGGCAAACACTCTACCACTGAGCCACCTTCCCAGCCCTCTGCTTTAAATTCTTAAGCATTATTTTTAGACTGTATAGCCATTGCTCAATAAATATTTGAATAAAAAGGCATGCGATGTGTTGTAATGTGATCAATCACCTATTTTCTTAGTACATGGGAGGATTTAGAGAATTGAGACGCTAAATTAATTGATGCAAAATTATTTTTCTTTTTTCATTTCTTTTTTGGGGTTTTGGTTCTGGGGCTTGAGCTCAAGGCCTGGGTGCTGTCCTGGAGCTTTTTGCTCAAGGCTAGCACTCTATAACTTGAGTTATACTTTGAGCTATATAGCTCTTGGTAAACCTTTGATTAAGATGAAAGGATCTACTTTAACAAATTTTGCTTCACTTGTAGCTTTTTGCTGGCTAATTGGAGAGTAAGACTTTCATGGAGTTTTCTGTCCAGGTTGGCTTCAAACTGTGATCCTCAGATCTCAGCTTCCTGAGTAGCTAGGATTATAGGCAAAGTCTCACAAAAATGCTTAAGGATGGTTGACTCTGTTTGGAGAGGAACAAATGAGACCATTCTCTAAGACTCTTTCTATTGGATTCATTTCTTTCTACTGGATTCATTTTCTGCATGTGGACAGAATGAGACTATGCCCCAAAACCTGGCTTTATTTGAAATTCCATCACTTGTCACTGATTTACTAAACTTTCATCTTTGAGATACATGGCCCAAAGCTAATCTTTGAAGAATCCTGCTCAGATACCAGCTAACATAGATTGTATACAGGTAGCATGATATCTCTCTGAAACCTTGAGTTTCTCAAAAGGTCATAGGAGCAACTTAGACAACTTTCCAGTAGAATTACAATCCATACAGACAATAAATTATATAATACATTTTTTATAAAATGTAAACTAGCATTAAAAAAAAAAGTAACATCACATTTTATTGGAAAGAAGAAAACTTGGTCTTTTTTCAGACCTAAGAAAACAATCTATTTCTCATTTGCTGCTTTTTCTCTAAGGAAATGAAACTGTCCAGCTACATTTAGCACTTAAAGAAAACCACAAACTTAGCCTCTAATATTACTGGTTTTAATAAAGAAATCAGGACATATTTGGCGTAGGGGCACAGCATTACAGAGGAATGGGCATCATGCCACCAAAGTGGTTTCATTTGCCCAGATTTACCTTGTTCTATTTGTCCAGTGTGAACCCAGCCAACACAGAGAGAAGAGCATAATAAATTAAACCCATTTCATAATTTGTTCTCATAGTCATGGTCGTTTTAAATATCAGGCCTCAAATAACTTTCCTGTCTTTCATTGAATAGTTCACACTTCTATTTTGGCTCTATCAAGAAAATGCCCACATAGCTTAGAGGTCAGAGTAAAAATGCATAGATTGCATAAAATGTATACTGGGTGCACTAACCTCTTTATATGGAGTTTCCGACAGGGAAGAAAAATCTTCAAATGTCACGCTTCTCCTGAAGAAATGCCTTCAGGTCGGATTGGGGCACCAATCCGGTTCACCCTTCACTCGGGAATAGTCAGATTTTCTTTCTGTTCTCTGGCTACTGTGAAGATCCGGCGTGCAACAAGCACATGGGTTAAATGTTTTTCCACTTGTGGAGGCCTGTTTATGCCAGTTTGCCCACTGATGACAGTTATAGCTGGGAACAAACAGAAGTGACAGCTGCTGATGTGGCTTTTTTCTCATCTATAATTATAACTCCACCTGCCGTCCAAAGTACCCCTTTGAATGAGAAGTCAGTGGTGACAGACAGGAAAAATGGTGGCTGTTTAAGTCCATTAGATTCAGTTCAACTCTACCTTGGGATGAAGGAAGAAAGGTCTATTTCTCCTTCGAGAATTATGAGACCCCTCTAGCTGAAATAAAACAAACCAAAACCACCACCACCACAACAAAAATACCTCCAATCTTCCCCCAATCCAAGAACCAGGAGAGTCTCTTTGTGCTTGAGATGAAGACCAAATCTTAGGAAGTTGTCAACTGGAGAAGACAAGAATATAATAGGATTTTTGCTCATTTGAAAGGTATTGAGAATATTTTTCCATTAAAAGAGAGAATCAGAAGAACATAGATAATTAGGACATGAGATGGCTTGGAAAACTAACACACTGATTTATTAGTTTGTTATTTTCCAAGGTTAGAAAAACTTAAATCAAGTAATGAATGATTAATTTCAGGGCCAATACCGAGGGGCTTTCCAACTATCTAAAATAACGTGCGTATCAATCACTTAAGATTAAGGAAAATGACTTTTAAAAAGAAGCATTTTTGTGCAAAAAGTTTTTATTCTAAAATCAAGAATACATACAAAAATTAAGAATTTAAAGTCTCTCTGGAAAATGTATAAATTTTTTCTAAGTTTTCTTCTATTTTGTATGTATTTAGCTGATTTCTTTGTCAAACTAAAAATATTTTCATGACAGAATTGTATTTTGTCTTTAATTTCTTGCTCTATTCCTGTTTACAGTTTCAATTTAGAGCCTTGAAAATAATGTATATTCGTTATGTTTTTATTGTTTGATTATCGCCTTACCTTCACAAGTACTGTTATACTATCTGGGGTGGGGTGGGGGGGACTCTGTGAATGTGTAAATAACACATACACAATATAAGATGCTTCACATCATGCCTTATATAGGGATTGCCATGGAAGTGTTTAGAGGGATCTTATGTTATATTGATAAACGTTTTCAACTCTGATTCGTGCTAGAGAATCTTAGAAAATCTGAACTTGGATGCTTATAAAATGGAAATTTGGAGACATTTCCCACTGGATATGTTGTGGCCCTGAAACTTGGCATCATTTCCAGCACTTTAAAACTAAATCTGTCTCCTCTGTGAGGCACAGTAAGACCTGTTGGTTGGTTTCATTTTCAAACAAGTGATTGCATCATTTTTTTCCATTAAGGTTTTTATAGAAAACAATATGGAATAGTTTTAAAACTTTATGATAGAGAAATCCTTATATAAACAAGTCACAACACTCAAGAAAATATATTTGACTATAGTTGAAACTTAAGTAAAACAAAAAACCATAAGCAAGCTCAAAAGCTCAGATAGCCCAAAAGGAATTATTTCATATTTGTAAGTATATACATATAAATGTAATATGTATGAATATATTGCTTCTATATGTAGCTAACCCTCTATGTTCATGGGTTTTAAATTCATGAATGTAATCCACTGCAGATTAAACAATATTTAGAGAAAAAAGTTGCATTCCGTCAGGTTGTTTTGAGGAATGACTAGCTAATAGTTGTAGAGAGCATTCTAAATGCAACTTAGTAACATTTAGATGGGAAGAACAAACTCCTAATGTTTCTTTTTAGTTTTTTTAAAGTTATTTTCAAATAGTTTTACCAGGGAGTTTGAATTTAACACCTCCATGTATGTACACAGTGGATTTCGGTCACAATCACCCCTTCCGTTATTCTTCCCCCCAATACCTATCCCATCCCTAATCATCTTTTCAAGGTTCCCAGTTCCATTTTCTTTTCAAAACTTATCTGTAAGTAGTTATACAATAGAGTTTCAATTCAACCTATCAGTTTGTTAGTAGAGTGCATCTTGATCATAGTTACTCCTTTCACCATTATCCCAACCCCACCCATCCCTTCAATAACCCGGTTCCATTTTCACACATGTACATTGAATATTATGATAGCACTCCCTCAGTCTTCCTCTCTCCATTCTCTAGTTGCATTTTCATGTTTCCCAGTACTGTTGTCAACAAACTCCCATTGTTGAGCTCCAACTCTGGTGACTATTTTTATAAGTACCAAAAGATGCCACTTAGAAATAAACTTCTTAGAGGAGACAAGGCATGACCACTTATTTGAAAGTATCTAACAAAACACCAAACTGCAATTTACTGTATTAGACTCTTTGCTTAAAAAATAACATTTTGTTTATAAACAGAGATTCTAAAAATAACATATGATTATAAAAAATAAAGCAGCATATAAAGAACAGAATGCTATTCTGTCATGCCACACTTAGTGGCATGGGTTAACATTTGGCATAAGGTTCATCTTTGTAGACTTTTGTGGGAACTATTTTAGCTTCTATAATTTTTTTGTTGTTGGTGGTGGTGGGGCTTGAACTCTGGGCTTGGGCGCTGTCCCTGCACTCTTCAGCTCAAGGTGAGTACTCTACCACTTGAGCCACAGCGCCACTTCCAGTTTTCTGGTAGTTTATTGGAGATAAGAGTCTCACAGACTTTCCTGCCCATGCTGGCTTTGAACCAAGATCCTCAGATTTCAGCCTCCTGAGTAGCTAAGATTATAGGTGTGAGCCACTGATGCCTGGCTAGCTTCTATAATTAATAACAAAAAGTAAAATAGACCCTTAAGGCAATTTTAGGGTTCTATGAATAATAATTGTACCATTTTTTTATCTTAAAAACACTGAATTATGTTGTTCTTACCACCCTAATTTTCACCAGATTAGCACCTTTGTATTTGATTGCAGTAAACCTTCAGCGAAAGGATGATTCATTAAAAAAGAAGTGATAAATGAACTGTTAGTTCATTCATAGCTATTGGGATAAATGGCCCTTTGTTCC